TTCTCGTCGGTCGTGAGGCGACTTTTTCTCTCAGCTGCAGCCGTGGCGTTGGATTCTTCAGACTGCAGATTCAGCTTCATTTCTGCTGGAGCAGCGCGTGTCACCGCCAGGTCCTCACTTCATTAACCTGCTCTGTTTACAGTCGTCCAGTGTGAACAGCAGCCCATTGTTTACTGTCACTCACTGACCCACAGTCAGAAGCTCACGGGTGTTTTGACCCTTTAGAACATTGTTTCAAATGAATTTACTAAAATAAACCAAATAAAAAAAAACATGTTTCACCACTTGATATTTAGATTAATTTCATCTTCTTCTTTAGCTTGCTTTGTGCTGCAGTCTTTCTTAATTCTAGGACAGTGAAGGCATCACTGTATTGTTAAAAGATCTTATATTGGGTTTTTTTAGGTTTTTTTTTTTTTAAGAGTCCTTGCACTTGAACTTTTCCAACTTCATCCCTTCTTCTTCTTCTTCTTCTTCTTCTCTGCTCCACAGCTGCGTGGTGGATGAGATGGACTGCTCAGGCATGGAACTGGACGAAGCTCTGAGAAAGTTCCAGGCTCACATCCGTGTCCAGGGAGAAGCTCAGAAGGTGGAACGCCTTATCGAGGCCTTCAGGTAATGGGGAAAAACCTGCCTGAGCTGCCACACTTTGAGTTTATCTATCCTGAGCCAGAGCACGGGGGCTGCAGATGCCGGTTTCAGCCGCATCTATGAAGTGCAGGAAATCAGTCATTAGTGGACTGTGGGTGAAACGGATTACTTTCTCAAAACAGATTTATTTCCAGGCCACAGTCCAGACCATGGAAGCTGTAAGTGATCGAAATGTATTTAAAAAAAAAAAAATGAAATCCCAGACTCAGACACAGATGGACTGTAAACAACTTCTTCTGTCTGAAGGCTCAGTGACAGATACTTTAACAATCTAATAATATTACAGTAATCCCATGTTAATGTAATAAAATAGGAGCATGAAACTAATGCTGCATGTTTCATCTCTAATCTATCGACCAATCAGGGCTTTTCTAAGATTCTGATTCTAAATGAACTAATTACCTTAAGGTTCAGGTTTAGTTCAATGTGAAAAGAGATCAAATCCAGTGATCTCAAACCCCCGGGCTGCAGCCCACAATTCTAAATGAACTAGTTCCCTTAAGGTTCAGGTTTAGTTAGTGCAATGTGAAAAGAGATCAAATCCAGGGATCTCAAACCCCCGGGCTGCAGCCCACTTCTGGCCCGCAAAAACCCCGAAATGTGGCCCACAACTAAATGTCAATAATGAGGTCATTTAACTCTTTTTGCCTTGTTGTATATATATATATATATGTATATAAACATTATATCTAACTGATATCTATTTTGTTTTACCAGCATGAAGCTATTTTTGGCTCATTTAGCTTTGGCCCGTCCCCCTCCAATTCTTCTTATTCTTTAATTTTTACACCATCTACCAGCAGCCGATATCATCTGAGTTGGTCTCTTGTCACTAAATGGTTTCGTTTTAGATTATAAATATTTGTTACAACCAAATTGAGAAGAGAAAATGCAAACAGAGGGCGGCACCACAACTCTATTCATGTCCAATGGCTGAGGAAACTACACTTGTAGAAAACAAACAGAAAACTCCAGCCTGATATCATCGTTTTAATCTTGCATTCTGTCCAGATGGAGAAAGAAACAATATTTGGATTTCTGTGCCTCAGCGGGCAGAAAGGTTGGCACTGGTAATGTTTGGACATCAGGTTGCCTTTCTCCCTCATCAGGGGAGATAAAGGGGGAAAGGGAGAGGGGAGGGGAGAGAGAGGGCGAAAAAGAGGGAGAAAGGTTTATAAATAACCAGCGCGTTGCATAAGCAGTCCTGCCTCCGCCGCTCCTCGCTGCTTTGATACGTCTCCAAATGCACTAACGCAGAGAAAGAGAGACGGAGAGGGGAAAGAGATCGCTCAAGAAAGAGGAGAAGAGTTGAAGCAACGGTGGAGAAAACGAGCAGCGCTGTGTGTGTGTGTGTGTGTGTGTGTGTGTGTGTGTGTGTGGGAAGGTTTAAAAGTAAAGAAAGCAGCCTGCAGCCTGGGTATGTGCTGCGTCAGTGCACTAATGAATGAGTAAGTAGGAGCCAGCGCGGATGCTGCAGATGCATTCATTTCACGTTGGTGCGACTGTGAATCACACCATTACTCAGCCCACAGTCACACACTGTACATTTACTGTTTTTTTTTTCGCTGGTTGTATTATGGTGATTTCAGAAAACGACCACATTCGTATCCCTAATCCGGCGTCCTCACACGGGAGTTAACTGCTGTACGACACCAGCTGACATCCACAACAACAGAATACGCCCGGCAGACGGCAGCGAACGTGGAATTTGAACTCAGCCAGATCTTTTTAACGAGATCCAGCGAACGCATTATTATTTTATACATATTTTTCTGTTTTTTTTTTTCTTAAATTCTGTGCGCAGCAGCTTGAGAGAAAAAGCAAACCCAAAATGTGTGTTTTTTCCCTCATCACGTTGCTGCACAGATGAGAGTGTAATTACTGCTGTTGAGTCATCGTTTCCATACAGTCAGATGTGAACGAGCAGCACTGTGATTATCATCGTGAAGCTCGCTTCATCACTACACACCCAGGGTTGTTTTTAAAAACTGGGGTTTGATGCATTGTGCTGTGGTGCAGTGGTTTTAGGAGGTAACGTCCCAACAGGAAGGTGAAGGGTCCGATTGTTTGCTCTGTGCTCTGACCTCCCTGGTCAAGATGTTTGGTCGTAGTCTGTGTTCTTAGAAAACCAGTCCTAACAGGATATGGAGAGGAATGTAGGACTGATAATGTAAGGTGTGAAATGAAGGTCAGGAGTTTGATTTCTAGCTTTTTAGTGACACGGCCACATGATCAGAACGACACATGGAACAACTGAGAAACGGCTTGAACATCTGCAGCACGACACGGCGCACAGATTTGTCAAAAAGGTTTTCACCTGCTGTGTGTATTCCAACAAGTGTGTGTGTGTGTCTGTGTGTGTGTGTCTGTGTGTGTGTGTGTGTCTGTGTGTGTGTGTGTGTGTGTCTCAACCCGACTGTGATACTGGTTCCAATCATGCAGCTCGCTGGGTTTGCAACACTCTGCTGCCGGAGCAGGACCTGTGCAGAAATGACTGATTAAAGCATGAGTCTGTGCAAGACACACACACTCACACACACTCACACACACACACACACTCTCTCACACACTCTCCTCAGCATCATGATTGCCATTAGTTAAAACTGCAAAATTCCACAAATGTTGAACACTCATGGTGACAGGATGATCCATGAAAATATAAATATAAAATAATGTTAGTCTCTTATTTGGAGAAATTCTCAGTGCAACCCACACAGGCTGCCACAGGAGGCGCCATTACATTATATATATATGGTTCCTCTAGGTCTCGAACCCATGACTTTCTGCATGTAAGGCAGTTGTGTAAAACGTGATAACCACTACTGTCATTAAAGGGACTTAACAACTACTTTGTGAGGAAGTGAACTGACAGAGATGTTGGTCAACTCACCATCTTTTCCCTTTAAATTTCCCGTGTGTTACTTTTTACACGTCCACGGGGACGAGGGCGTCTGCGGAGTCAGACGATATTTCTGCAACAGCTTCAGCTGCTGACGGCTTCCACTGTGGTCTCAGGCCAAATTAAAGCCATAAGTCTCCTGCTGCTTTGCCTCCCTCCTGCTCAGAGAGTCTGGAGACATTAGGGAGGACGCTGTCTGTTGAAGGATGCCTTCAGTGTCCGAGGATGACAAAGTACATTCGTCTCGTCTTCCCTTTGTCATCCCGTCCTGTCTCTCCTCATCGTTCTGTCCTTTAGCCTTAACCGGTTCATCTCTCTTCCTGACAATATTTTGTTCATTCTAAATATTTCAACTTCTCTCTCCTCCGTCCGGGGTCTTTACCCACCAAAAACTCCTCAAAAAATGTTTGATTGTTTTTGTGCTGTCCGTAACATGATTTCACACAGCATCACTAAAAGTTAAAGTGATGTGTCCTTTGTATGTACAGTATGTCAATAAGAAACCACTGTTATAAGACTTTCTTTTTTTCTTTGTTTTCATCTAAAAACTGTAGAGTTTGAAAAAAACAAAAACATCCTTTGCAAATACTAAAATCTGGAGAAAACATCAATTAACATAAAACGTTAGCTAAGATAGGAAAAGATAGGATAAGATAAAGGGCTATGCTAGGCTAGGCTATGTAAAGCTAGGCTAGGCTTTAATGCTGGGGAAATTAACACTACAGGATTGAAATTAAAAATGACAATTTGTGTTTTCCACTTAAAATCAATAAACAAGAAAAATATGCAAATGTTAGACTTGAAGAAAAATGGAATTATTTGAAAATAATCTTTTCTCCACTTCAGCTGTTTTCTGCTCAGATTAGCCTTTTTTCAATGTTATTCTTATTAACCGCTCCTTACATTTTAAGCTGTTACGTTGACATGAACTCTTTTTAAAAAAAAAATCTTTTATTTCTACTTCAACAGCCAGCGCTACTGCATGTGTAATCCCGATGTGGTGCAGCAGTTCCACAACCCCGACACCATCTTCATCCTGGCCTTCGCCATCATCCTGCTCAACACCGACATGTACAGTCCCAACATCAAGCCTGACAGAAAGATGTTACTGGAGGACTTCATACGCAATCTACGAGGTGAGGAATTTACCGGAATTAAACTAGTTTATGTGTCAAATTCAAACTACTCCTGAAGCACTGTGTCAAACCGAGTGGTACGGTGCAGTCGACAAGTCGGCCGCAGATGTAGTAGTACACGCAGAGGAGCCGCTCTGCTGTAAGGAGAAGTCAACACTAATCCTGGCCGTGGAGCTGAGGAGCTGAGGTGATTATAAATGTATCTCCATTAAATGCATGAAGCTGTCATCAGGAGTGAAATAAATCCACTCAGGCAGGAATTTAATTATCAGACATAAGAAACATCCTGCACAGAGAGTAAAGTTAATGATGAGAGGAGGAGGAAAGGAGAAAGACTTTCACTTTTCCCCCGTGGCCTCAAAGCCATGTATTCAAAGTCTGGCTGGGGGGCCAAATGTGACGCACGAAAAGAGTGTATGAGTTATACATAATGTAAAAATATGTATGCAAAACTAGGACTAGTTGTTACCAGCCCCAATAATCTTCTTTGCCACTGTAACATATGTTCAAGTGGAATCACTAAAATTCATATTTGGAGTTTTTTTGTTTTCTAACTTTAGCTATAAGTTTCATATCTAAAACATTTTCTCTTTGTTACGTTTGGTGTATCCTGGGTAGTGAATGTTAAAAAAAAATTTTTTTGCCCTTTTTCAGCATATTTTTGCTAAAATTTAACTACCACGCTAGCTATTAGCAATTAGTTAACATAAAGGTTTCTACCCATTTTGTGGCAGATTTCAGCTAATAGTCTAACTATCTCATACAGTAGCTAGGTTATTGGCTAATCTCTACGTTATCCAATTTGGGATAAGCATTTTGGGATAGCATATAAAAATGAGCACTATCAATAATATACAGTTTATTTTTGTTTGCTTCTTTGTTTTTCCTATTTTAACATTTTTCGTTTGTAGTTTTAATGAAGACTTAACAGAGACACTAAATGTCCAAACTCACCAGGATTCACTCCCAGACGACACGTGTTCATTTACATAAGAGCCCCTGCCTGCAGTGCGTCACACACTCCCAGGTCGTAGCCTCGACAGCAGAAGGCGTCTGTTATCCTTGTCTCCACAAGTCAAACAGATGCCGAGGCGCAGGCTGAAGCGTCTCTAAATGGCTCCCCCTCTGTGGAATCAGCAGTGCAACAGCGAGGTCAATGGAGAACAGCGTTCATTTATTCACCCAGACTCTTCCTCACAATTCAATTAAGTGAGAAAATCACTTACAAACAGATTGAGCAGATTGAGATTTTAATACAAATAATATAATTTTTTTTTAGCGATCTATCCCTCAACTCTAAACACGTCTGTTAACTCCTCTGAATACGTTCTCTTTGTTTCTTTTCACTCATGTCTCTGTGTCTCGACACACAGACAAACGGTTCACTCAGCTAATTGGCTGAGGTGAAATGCAATTATGCACCCGAAGCCAATAGTAATAGAGAGAAATGGCACACTTATTATCTCATTTGAAACAGACTGGCCGGGCTGACACACAGTGGGCCAAACTGAAATGAACGTCTTATTTCAAAGGTAATCCAGTGTGCCAGCCAAGTAAAAATGAAAGAAGACGTTTCTTCTTCCTTAGTTGGGTTTGTGGGGGTTTTTTGTGTGTGCACAGAACGGATGCATCTGAGCTCATATCCCATTAGTACACGGGGATGAAAACAACTCCCTCTATATTTAGACATAAGGAGGCAGAGCCAACGGGATTCGAATCAGGGCTCAAACTACAAAGGAACACGAGTAAAACAAGAAAAAACAAAAGTGTTGGCAGATCTGTGTAAAACTGGGAGGCCACTGTGAGAGATGTGGAAATATTTAAATGAACTCACAGGAGGCCTCAGCTCTCAGACGTGACAATCTTTTAAGTCTAAGCTAATTTCTTTGTCAGTTTCAATTCCACTAAAATAGTTTTAGTTTTTATTACAGTCTGAATCATTTATAACAATAGTTTATCAAACTCTTCTAGCTAGTTTTTATTGCTAATTTGACCACATTTCTCTGTTGTTTTTCTTGCTAAATCGGAGCTGAACTTAACTCAGTTTATATTCTGTTTTTCTTGCTAAATCAGAGCTGAACTTAACTCAGTTTATATTCTCATTATCTAATTATTAATGTCTTTTTGATCTACTTCAGCTACAACACCGAGTCATTATTGGTAAAACTTTACTAACCTTTAGCTCTACTTCTGCTAATACTTTAGCTATTTTTTAGCTTCCTGGACTTGAGCTCAAATTAGCTCAAATGTTAAACAATTTTAAGGGTTATCTAATCAAGAAAATAAAGATTGAACCTTTAAACCTTTACATTCAGCAACATTTTCCAGGCAACTTCTACCTGTTTTTAATAATTGTCTCTAATTCAGTTAGCTAATTTTTAGGCTAATTTTGTGCGTATCTGAAAAAGTTCAGTTTGAGCAGAGACCAAATTCCAGAAGTTTATCGTTACTGTGGAAAAGTCGATATTTTTAGCCATTTGCCGAGTATTTTTGGACGACTTCCATGACGTCAGTTCTGTGTCTGAGTCAAAGTCCAAGTTGAGTAGAAGGTTAGGAAGAAGCAAAACTTAGTCCAGGTCCAATGGCAGTGGTACTGTTGTTAGTCTCAGTCGACCTTTTCACTGTATGAAGTATTTAATACAAAGTACCTGGAGAAAACTCTGAAGAAGACATTTGAGACCCGAGGTTTTCAAGCCGGCGAGGTATGACTCGGCTGACCACAGCGCTGATTGAGAAGTGAAAGAAGACACTGAGTCATGATTACACAATTCAAAGCAACCAGTGTTAAACTGCTGTGTCATGGCCCCCCTCTGTGTCACATGCAGAAGATGATTATGCAACGGTACTTCCACGGCCCCTGCCTCGGTGATTAGCTCCAGTGTCTCTCAGCAGTTTCCCAGAGTGCATCACTGTGACCCTCATCACTTGTGGCAGCTTCCTTCTGCCCCCATTGAAAAGTTAATGTACCAAACCACGTGGCTCAGCTGCACAGACGTAATGGGAAAACATCTCAAGGGCGACCTTTGGACCCGGCGACAGGAGACTCCACCTGCCTCTACTACGGCAGCAAACAGAGCTGGGCTCCAGACAGAGCCACTGTTTCTCCTGGCATTTAACATCCCTCACATTTCCCACTGTCTGTACTTAATGACAACAGTCAGAGGCAGGAAGTCAGAGAATCACAGATAAGGAGACTTAACTCTCCGAGTCATTCTGTTCCCGGTATACAGTGGTCCCTCTATAATATATCGCAATTCTCCTTTTGCTTCCTCAGTACATCGCGGATTTCTGTTTTAATCCAATCTTGCGGAATTTTTGCTATATCACAAAATATAGCCAGTCGGCCGCTCTCTTGTTCACTTCACTCTGCGTCGCCATTCTACAGTACAACATCCACAGGATGTAATTGGGTCGGGAAGGGTAATACAGTCTAGGGAGGGTTGATAACAGTGCGGGGAAGGTTCACAAAGGGTAAATATATACAGAAATCATATAATAACTATCTTCTACTTCGTAATTTTTTTCCATTTCACGGTGGGTCCTGAAACGCAACTATCTTGATAGGAGAGGCATCATTGTACCGTCTGTTTCTGTGCTGATGTTCTTAGGTGTGGACGATGGAGCGGATATCCCCCGAGACATGGTGGTGGGCATCTACGAAAGGATACAGCTCAGGGAACTGCGCTCCAACGAAGACCATGTGACCTACGTCTCCAAGGTGGAGCAGTCCATCGTCGGCATGAAAACGGTAACCACATATCCGACATCTGCGGACTTTAAAATCTATCTATACCTGCATTTGTGTTAATTTTGTCAAACAGAGCATGCAGCTCCCTCTTCATCCACTGCAGTGGCGCTATTACCTAAGTTTATAATGACTAAGAAGAAGCTAATTAGAGTTAGCCTTAATACATTTAACTTTCTGGAGCTGTACACCTCCTGCACACAATTCTAAAACTTTGTTTTTACACAACACAAAGACTTTAAAACAAACAATTGGGGTTTAATGGGCTGATCCCGACCCTCCCCCACCACTGCCCCCTACTGGATCTAATGTTTACTGTCTCCCTTTCGCCATTTTTTTTAATTGTATTTTTGGCTAACTATTATTGTTACCTTTCTGTACACTTTCAATAATGTTTTTCAACATTGGCATGGATTTGTATTTAATGACTTTAACAGAGGATGAGAGCAGAACCATATTTGAAAATTATGAGCATCAGTGCACACGAAACACACAAAACCCAATTCAAAATCATTTACTCATCACTTAGGGCTTCATCACAGCCTTGCGAGTCACAGTGGCACCAGCGGAGCACATTTATTAGCCATTAAATGTCTCATCAGCGGCAGGATCATTAGCGCAGGTCATTACTCCTGCCAGATACATCATTAACCACTGTTATCATTACACTAAACTGTTTAAGGTTAAAAGACTTGGTCAGAGATCGCCGTGAGTGGAACGATTCAGCAGGTGAACTCAGGTCTTTGGTGAAGAGTTAGCGTAGCGTTGAGTGTTGACCACGCTAACAAAAACAGTGAATAAACCCTGTAAACTTACCAAGAAATCTCAACTTATTTTGATCCTTTGTTAAAATAAAATATACACCATAAAAAACATTCACAGAATCCACAGTGGTGGTTTTCAGTCTGTTTTTGTCCAAGGACGGTAACGGCATCGCCAGCTTTACTCAGCCTGTGATTGGCTATTTGGCTCCATATGACTTTGTGTCACATGGATATATTTTACCAACAAAGGAAACTCACCAGGAGCTGCAAATACTACCATACACTCTAACGTTGTCGTCGTACAGTTCATGTAGTTTCAAGTACTGCAGTTATTTTACAAATGCTATAAACTAGATTTCTTTATCATATGTATAAGATCCATCCTGTCTGTTATCAACTTATAATCATCAAATATGATCTGACTGCGACCTGATACAAAGAGGCTAAAGGGCCACATTAAGCCCGGGAGCCTCAGGTTGAAGACCCCTGTTTGAACTTTTGAATCAAGAGTCAGAAGACAGTTTTAAAAGATGATGCAGGTGCAATAAAAAAAAATAATAAAATGGAGAAATATTGTAAAATGTTTTTAAATCAGTTTATTTTTCAAGGGAAACATAAAAATCGACATTATCTGCAGTTCTTCTGTTAATGGCTGTGCCAGAAAAACTCTCCTGTCATTTTTACTTCATCCTGTCTTCAGGGCTGTTTCAGAGAGACCGGGCACCGCTGGCTGCTAATGATGACATTATGTGTTCCTGTAATTAGTGTAATGAGAAAGCAGGCAGGGCAAGAGTTTGATCACCCTGCAGTTATGAACGATGAGTGTTGTGAGAGAAAGAAGATGCGTTTATTGTAGGAAGAAATGGGCAGAGAGAGTCGAGGGAGGTCGGTGGGATCGCTCTGCTGCTGCCGGTGGATGTTTAAGACACAGGTGAAACATTACTTCAACTTTGTTACAAAATGGTTAGCTGATCTTATCATAATAAGCGAATTTGTTTTTTTTTAAAAAGCTTAAAAGCTAACTAAATTATTGGGTCTCAAACTATGGTGTCCTTCCCCTCTAGTGGTACGCAGGGTTAGGTGATTTTTGTCGTTGCTAGTGGACTGTAATGTTTACTTTACTCAGCCGATCAGGGCAGGCTGGGGTTGGTGTATTCGTTAGCCGTACTTCTAGTACTTGGAGAGCCAAGTATTTTTCCAGGTGTTACGTGGTGTAAAAAGTAGGGATGTACGATAATATCGACCAACCGATAATATCGGTCCGATATCAGCATAATATGTAATATCTGTAAGACTTACGTTATCCGTTGATATCGCATATCGGCAAAAATAATATCGGACATTATATTATTATTTATTATATATTATTATTATTATATAGTGAAATTGATTCATAAGAGAACTGTATACAAATACAGGGTGAGAACATTTGTTAATCAACTGCTGACTTGCAGGCCGTTGGTGTTGCAGTAGAAGCTCGATGTAATAAACACGTTCCTCCAAGGATTCAGATTTCTTCTAAAGCAGAAGCAGTTCTCACACAACAGAAGTTTCTTCTTTAATAACCGGCTCTTTTTTCCTCTATACCACAGAGAGCACTGCATATTCTAAGAGTATATTTTATCAGCGTTTTCTTCATCGTATTGATTTTATTTGTTTGTGATTTTCGCACCACTCAGCTTGTCCAGTATATACAGCAGTGTTTTACGCAGTTCTGTCTCCTGTCTTGAAACACTCCAGACAACGTTCCTGCCTTTTTATATCTCGTCTGGGATTTATTGATTGTTTTTATTTTTTCACAAACTCATTATTCTAAGTGACTTAAGATCCCAGCTCATACCTGGCTGTGTTTGTCTGCGGGGACAGGTTCTCTCTGTTCCTCACAGAAGACTGGTGTGCTGCAGTCGGCTGTTTGAAGTGACAGATGTCAACAAGGCCCAGAAACAGGCGGCACATCAGAGAGAAGTCTTCCTCTTCAACGATCTGATTGTGGTGAGTGGAAGAAAGCATTACTGTCAATTAAATTTCTTCATTTAGTAAAAAGAACAGGAGGGTAAAATTGGAGGGAAGAACATTTCCTTTGGCTAATTTCAGGTAATATTCTGGTCACATTTTCTATCAAAAGTTGTGATGAAACGTCTTCTCAGTTCTGTGTGTCACCCAGGGGTTTTGTTTTGTTTTTGTTCCGACTGCAGATCTTGAAGCTTTGTCCAAAGAAGAAAAGTCCTGCTGCCTACACTTTCTGCAAAGCCATGGGCCTACTGGGCATGCAGTACCACCTTTTTGAAAATGAATGTGAGTCGTGGTCTTTTCAGGCCTTTTAGATTGAGTTCACAAAGCCAGCGGAACAGAAAGTGAGCGGAGCTTTTTCACAAATACGTTTGAGAGTAAAAGTGTCACCTAAATCAACACACATACTGTAGGTTGAATACCTCGTCATCTGTCCACTGTGTCGTCCACTACAGAGCAGTATCTGAACAGTGTGTCACCATGGTAACGGTGCTTCCCTTGACACAGGCCAGTCTGACAGTTAACATTTGAAGCTGGAAATAGTTTCCACAGTTTTTCCTCTTAGATTTGAGCATGGGATATTTTTATTCAAAGAATTTGAGGAAAGTAGAGGATTGAAAACTTCGCTGAAGCAGGACAAAGAAAATGAAAATAAAATCTCGGCAGTGTCAGTTAAAGCCATAAAGTTTAGGCCTGGTTTAAAAGTGGTCTATATGGACGTTTGGGGTCAAAAAGTGGATTCAAATGTCATCAAATCTATAAGGATAAATGAGCCAGGTTCAAGGTTTGTCTCTCTCCTCTGGTTTGACCTTTCCAAGATGAAATATCCTTCTTCGATTTGTCTAAATAATGAACTAAACAATAATTGTGTTTCTCTGTTCTCAGTCTACCCTCATGGCATCACCATCCTTTCGCCTTTTGGCTCAGAAAAGAAGCAAGTCCTCAACTTTTGCGCCCAAAGTGCAGAGGAGCTGCTGAAGTTCGTAGAAGACCTGAAGGAGTCCATTGCGGAGGTGTCAGAGATGGAGCAGATCCGCATCGAATGTGAGTTTTAGCGTCTCAACGTTGGTTTGTTGTGTCTGAACCATTCAGTGTTTCAGTAGAACACTCGCTAAAGGTCACATGCTGCGGAATACCACACGATCATAACAATTTTACTCTCTGTGATTAAAGTAGACATTTTCAGACTCAGGATAGAGAAAAAACATCGACAAAAAATATTCTAGGCTTTGCTCAGATTTTTTTTTCTGTTGTTTTGATCCCTAGGGGGAAAATTGTTGAATTAATCATTTTTAAAAAGCGTGATGACATCCAATACAAGGAAAACTATGTTTTTTAAAAGAACAAATCTTTTCTAAATTTTAATAGAATGAACAAATAAAATAATAAAAATAATTCTTATAATTAAAATGTTGGACCTCGTTTACTTTATTTAATCTCCCAGAGCCACCTGGGAAATTTAAGGTAGATCTTAATTAAATTTAGTCTAAATAAAAAAAAGAATAATAATCTTTCTAAAGCTGAATCTTTGATGCTTTAAAAATGTACAGTACTTTTTCCTGGTCATAATTGCATGACTTTAATTAATTTGTCATTTATTTTATTTTTATTTATCTTTAACCAATAATTATTTTAGAAATATAAATTTTATAATGTCAATTCACAGAAAAAAAAACAAATGTATGTGAAAGTCTCTGAGAGGTCAATTAACCTTAAACTCATTAAACCGGAGTTCAATCAGTGGACATACTTTATTGTCAGTTTTCCTCTAAATAGGATTGTCATTTATGCTGTTGACATTATTTTCCTTTTTCTTAAATCCCTGAAAAATCTTCTGTCCGAGGCAGACTCCTCAGGGCGTTGACTGCTGATATTGTAAATCACTAGTGATAGATCTGATCTGTGTCTTCATTTGACCACAAACTTTGTTTAGTTACTCCCACCGTAGTCGCATTAAAGTCAATCCAGCAGTGCTGTCTTTGCTAACAGAAAGCCGTGTTCTTTCTTATATAAGCCCTGGACTTGATGCAGAGGCTTTGCTCAGATTTTTTTTTTTTTTTTTGCATTTTCCTTTGGTGCACTGCAGCTGCAACACACTGCAGAACTGCAGTGAATTGGAAATGTTTTTGCCCGATGAAATTCCCCTTAAAGTTTAACACCAACACACCCAGCTATACACAGTCCTGAGAGTCCGAGGCCTGGCTCCTGCCAGTGAGCATCAAAAGAGAGCAGCCCTGCTGGGATTTGAGGCTACAGCATTAGCCTTCACAGAGAGTGAGGTCCAGCCGCCTGTGGAGAATAGTCTACAACATATGGAGACGGGCAGCGCTTGACAGATGGAAGTTACTTTTCTTTTTGGAGACAGCTCCTCACAAACCAGTGCACACAAATTACAGGACTGAGGACATGAAGGGCCAACTAGTACAAACAACCGGAAACATGTTTATTTATGCTCATTTCTTTTGTTATTTTCAGGCCAGAGGCCGAGGTTTTTCTGTTCCCTTTGTTTGTATTAAAAGATGTTTGTTAGTGAAACGCTGTGGGAGGACGTGACGATTTAAACGTCACTGGATCGTAAAATCCAATGCAGCTGATGCTCGTTAGCACAGCCAGAAAACAAGGTTGGGCAACACTGTTAGCCACAATATTGGACATTGGACGTGCTCAAAATATCCTTACATGTGCAATGAAACATGAAACACTGAAGTGTTAATTTTGACAGACTTTTTTGTTTTGTTCTTAGTCTTAGTCTTTTGACTAAGTGGTAACTGAGCCTCAGGCTCAACTTAAGATTACAATTTTTACTTTGTATCTTAGCTCAATATATTAATGCTAACGATAAAATTGAAACCAGGAAAGTCCATATATGTGTCCCACCAGCAGAGGCACTTTATAGAAGAAGAATATTATATCAACATATTATGTTAAATGATTCTTTATTCTGATCCTAATCATAATAATATTAAAAGTAATTTTCTGCAGTGCGTAGAAATATATTCATGTATGTTTACTGTATATGGACGACATTCTACGTTACACCTTGAATCAGTACAAACGAGGTCATTATCTAAATACATTCTACAGCCTGGATAATTCAGTCGATAATTACGGCTTCAGTATCTTTTTCCTGCGATGTGACTGCAGTTCGAGGGTTGTGAACCAGAATTACCACACATCCTGGCGTTTGAGAACAAAACAGCACTCAGTCTTCATGATTGGAAATGACATGCAATTACCATCAAGACTGAGGCCTAATTAGGGAAATGAGAGTCATGTTCTGAGCTTAGAGGAGAGAGTGGGAGGTGGGAGGGCGTCAGGGGTGAGGAGGAGGAGGAGGAGGAAGAGGAGGAGGAAGAGGAGAAAGAGGAGGAAGAGGTGGAGGAGGAGGAGGAGGAAGAGGAGGAGGAGGACGAGGAGGAAGAGGAGGAGGAGGAGAAGGACGAGGAGGAAGAGGAGGAGGAGGAGGAAGAGGAGCAGGAACTGGCTGCCAATAATGTTGCTGCTCACATTCATCTGTCACCATCCAACATTCCATCCATCTGTCCGTCCATTCCATCCATCCATGCCTTCGAACCATCCATCCATTCTATCCAACCATCCATCCATCCACCCACCCATCCATCTATCTATCCATCCAACCATCCATCCATCCATTCCATCCATTCCATCCAACCATCCATCCAACCATCCATCCAACCATCCAAAACCATCCATCCATCCAATCATTCCATCCAACCATCCATCCAATCATCCATATCCAAGCATCCAACCATCCATCCAACCATCCATCCAACCATCCATCCATCCACCCACCCATCCATCTATCTATCCATCCAACCATCCATCCATCCATCCATTCCATCCAACCATCCATTCATCCATCAATCCATGCAGCAATCCATCCATTTCATCCATTCATCCATTCCATCCAACCATTCAACCATCCATCCATACAATCATTCCATCCAACCATCCATCCAATCATCCTTCCAATCATCCATCCATCCAATCATCCATCCATCAATCCATCCATCCTCTGTGTTGGAGTGATTCTGATTGATCATTTCTGTTTTGCCTTCTCTGCAGGGGAGCTGGAGAAGCAGCAGGGAGCCAAGACGCACTCGGTAAAGAACGACACACAGCTAGAGCTGCGTGGCAAACAGGGCTCTCCATCAGGTGTGTGTGTGAGAGAGAGAGAGAGAGAGAGAGAGAGACCGAGTGTGTTTGTGTGTGGCTTCCTAATTTTAAAACCCACTGCTGAGGCATTGTCTCCACCTACATCTGCGTTTCTGCTGTTCAAAACATTTTTAAGTCAGTGCTTTCCATTCGCTGCAGTAAAGAAAAAAAATGCTGTAGAGATTCACGAACTCCATTTTTCTTTTCTGGAAATGGAGTGTGTAGTGTGAACAAAAAGACAGTTTCATCACAGACATTCTGCCACTTTTCCCCCTCTTTTTTCTTCTCTTTTCCCTCTTTTTCTGCCCCCAGGAAAGCAAGAGGTAGACGACAGGAGCGGACACAGTGCTGTAGAGGTAAGTGCTCAGTGATTGGGTCCAGTGTTCCCAGAGACAGGTAAGTCAGGGAGCAGGAACAGTCAGAGCAGAAAACAGAGCAGAGCAGAGAGGGAGGCTCCAGTCAGAGTCGGAAAAAAATGAGAAGAAACTGAGGGGAAAAATGACAAGGATGCTTTAAAAATATGTTTGTCAAAATCAAACATTTTATTAATCCCCTAGTGGAAATTGTTGGTGCTACAATTGCTCCTGCAAAAGCGTTAAAAAAAATAGCAAGTTGTTTATATTATGTCATTATAATAATTACTGTACTATTGTACTGTGGTAATGATAACAAAATAAAATATTATTTAGGTTTGAATGTGTATTTACTGAACCTTTATATATATAATATTTGTAAATTAGAATGTTTTTACCCCCCCCCAAAAAAGTTCCCCACAATTGCTAAAATTTTAATTTTGCCACGGTTACCAAAGATAGGGGGCAGGCCCTCCTATAAGGGCGCAGAGATATGGCCCAGCAAGGCAAGTGCGTTTCAAATTCATCATATAATTGCAGCAAAACAGTGTTTTAACTAAACTTTAGCTGAGATTTGAAGCAAGAGCGGTGTTGACGCAGCTCAGCTCGAGTCCAATACTGCGTCAAACCTAAGCTTTCATCTAAATTTCTCTTTGAAAAGATTGGTTTTCCCAAAAATACGACAGACACAGATGATGAAACTTTAGATTCCAACCTTGTTTTGGACTCAGACAAGGAAACGGAGGAAACTTGAAACTTTAGATTCCAACCTTGTTTTAGTCCCATGGACTCAGACAAGGAAACGGAGGAAACTGCCTTTGCTAAAAGTACACGAGGACATCAGTGGAATGCATATATATCTTGTCAGCGTTCCCACGTCAGGAACCGAGACCTTAATTAACACAGAGTCGAATACGTTTGACCCAATGTTTTCCCCTCCTCCACTCTGGTGCCTTCAGACCTCCTGGAGGGAGAAGCTTCTTCAGGCCGACCCTGACCTTCCACAGAGCTATTCTAATTAGGACGGCAGAGCTGGTCCAGTCGTTTCTGTGAGAGTGGGGTCACGGGGTCACTTTGACATTAGAACATGTTTCTTTCTGATGTTTGACCATTGGAGAAGTCAGAACATAAACTTTAAACCAAAGCTATTTGAGATAGAGGAGGAGGGAGAAGAAGGGGGGAGTTGTGAGACGGGAGCAGAATGTGGAGGGCGATGGGTAGAAACTAAGGAACGGGGTAGAGAAGGAGTGACAGATTAACAAATGGGGACGAGTGAAAGAGAGACTAATGGGGGGAGAGATGACTGAATCGGGGACAGCGGGAGGGAGACGGATGTTGGTAGAGGGAAATAGAACAAACAGGGAGGGGGACAGAGGTGAAAGAATGTGGGAGAGAACGGGACAGAGATGGACAAATAATGACCCACGTGTTTGTTTCAATAATTAGTTTAGCGTAAAAAAACAGCGGTTGTCAGTATTTCTAGTGGAGACATTGATGTGACCTACTTACAAGGACATGAAGAGAAGCCTGGCCTCAGTCCAGATTCTCAGCTTTATTCGTCTAAGTTTTGTTTATTCCAGTAAGTAAATGAAGAGAAAGGTTTGTTTTGAGTTGGGTTTTAGAGATAGAAAGAAAGGAGAGCCGTGTTAAAGAGAGAAAGTTCAGGGAATAAGGAGAATCACAACTAAAGAATCTAAGAACTCAGATGGATATCATCTGCATAAAAACGACAACTGTTTTTGAATTAACTCTGAAATCGTCTTCCGGGGGAAAAGACAGGTTGAAAAGGATAGAGACGTGAGGAACACCTGACACGTCAGTCAGCAGTGATCTTTGACAGTTCTACTTTTATTTGCAGTTTGGATTAACGGCTAGCTTTGTCCACCACATGTTTATATGCATTACACGATGTGCTTGTGTTTATCTTTTCTTTTGACAAAGGCGGGCCTAATACAGAAGCGACAATTGATGAAATTACAATGACGCGACCACAAGATGGCAGTAAAGCAAGAAAGAAATACAACCTCCGATAAAATCTAAAGACGTGTAATAAAGCGGTGGTTTTCAAACTGATGAGCCAAGTGAGCCAAACAAAAATAAAATCCACAGACTGACGCGGACTGCGTTAACCATTAGCTACAGCACATGCAGCTACAAGTGGCCAAGGTTTTTAGAGGCATCAATGAAGGCATCATTGGCATCACTTTACACCTGTTTAGCGTTAGCTTTGTGCGTCTGTCTGCTCTGTTCACCAGGTTAGAAGTTAAACCTCCACCTGTGCTGCGGCTGCGACCCTGAAGCCTCTGCTTTAAAGAGACGAACCAAACAGAACAGTTAACACCGATGGTAGTTGATAGAGAGGAACAGAAAGTAGAGAGATGTAGGAAAAAAAAAAGTACTATCTGGAGGTTTGCATTCTGATTAGTGTTGCCTGTGGATGTCCGTGCTCGTCAGTCTGCTCACCTCCACTCCTCCTCTTCTTCCACTTCTCCCTCTTCTTCGTATGCCCTCCGTCTATGTTCTGGTGATTCTGATTTTTCTCCCTCCCACAATTCCCCCCTTTTGTCTGTCACCTGTAGCGCCACACAGTGGTTTGAAAGGGAGATACGGGGGCCCTCAGTGTCCCCTTTGGAACCACCGGGCCCCTTCTGTAGCCTCACGCCAAATCTTTTCTCCCTGCACCTGAAACCACCTTTTCCTGCCAAATCCTGTCAGTGACCAGTGTCCACTGGTTCCCACCACCGTGGGAGTGGAGGGAGGGGAGTGCACTATATTCACACCTCCTCTAAAACCCCCCCCAACCCCTGACACCTGAGCATGCCTTGTGTGTGTGCTGTGCATTCACCACCACCACCACCACCCCCGAAAAAAGAAAAAAAAAAAAAAAAAGAAAAAGAGGGCTTGACGGATTGTAGAGGAGGATCCAGGTTTATAACATATGATGCTGTTCTCTTGGCTGTTTTCTAAACTAGGTGTCAATTCACAACAGGCTTCAGACGTACCAGCTCAGCAGCAACAACACGGCTCAGAACCCTGAGAACGCCGCCCTTCCTAACCACCGGGGGGAGCTGCTTTTCCCGCAGCAGGCACCCCAAGGCGTAGCCCAGGGTCCGGCAGCACCGTCACCACCTCTTCAGCACCCGCAGCTGCAGTCAGCGGCGAGCACCCCCGCCCACCACCACCACCACCACCTCCTCCTCCAGCAGCAGCAGCAGCTCCAGCCCGCCTCCGCCAGCATGCACGACCCGCGGCCGCACCACCACC